CACAGAACTTGCATCTTTTCTTCTGCTTCTTGCCGAAACTCCTGTCCCGCACCTCTTTGTGCTTTACTGCATGGACAGACTGAATGGAGGTGTGTGCAAATTCTCTAATTGCCTCTTGCGAGAATTCAGTCGCTCGACACAATTTTAGACACGTGTCGAGAGTCAAATTCGTAGCTATCAGAAGGCTTTCACGAGTCCCTTGAATCCTCACTCCTCCCACAATTCTATCTCTTAAGAGTGAGTCTTCCAACACTCCGAAATTGCATGTATTCGCCAGCACTCTTAAAACCGTTGAATATTCCTCATTGCTCTCTGTTTGCTCCTGATTCCTCGTAAAGAACCGGTATCTCTCCACCGTCTCGTTCCACGTGGGGATGCAGTACTTTGCAACTGCGTCGTGCATGTGCTGTACAGTGCGCAACTCTTCTGTTACTGGGATGAGCAGAGTCGGGTATATCTCCCTTCCTCTCTCTCCAATTAGGTACAAGAACATTTTTTTCTTTACCTTTTCATCCTTCCCATCTAATGCCAGCTCCATGTACAGTTCAAACTCCTCCCACCACTTCCTCCAAGCTTGAGCCAAATTTCTAGCATCAAAGTGTAGTGGTCCCGGAGGCTTGAGCTGTTCCATGTTTGCCTTGCTGTAGCTTGTTGAATCAGAGTAGCACTAACACAGCTTTCTTTTCAGCTATTCTTGAGGCACACACACGCCCACTTCTGACACCATATGTTACAATACCGATACACGTACTGTATTTAGAGTTATGTTAACACCATGCTTTATTATCGAGCACCTGGTGGGATACAGGTCTAAGCACGCAGCAGGTAAGAAGAGGCCTACTGCCACATGGCAGTGCCCTATATATGCTAAGCCTCCTATAGTTCACACCAGGTGGCGTCGGCGTAACAAACGCTCAGGTGTTTGTTTATAACAACATGTGTTGTGACATACTCTACTACTAATACTGTGTACTACTGTGTCTATATTACTGTGTATTTGTGACATGTGACCCTAGCATGACACTAACCAGAGCATATAAATCACAGTTGATTTATATGCTCTGTAATTGCTAGCGAACCACCCACTTCCAAAGAATACTAACAACACAGTTTTTTATCAATACGGGCACCACGTTTACTTTCTTTAATCTTTATTCATTAGCCGATCTCGTTGCTATGGTG